CCGAATCTCAATCCGCGACAAATTCGCTGGTTGGACTACCATGAGCCCAACTTCCACTACATCGTCATGTACGAAAAGTGGGCACCTAACATTGCCAACGCACTCACCTGCCCCGCCGCCCAACTTCATGACCAAACCAACCCATTGTAAACGGGCCTATTCGCCCACAGATACCACACCGACCCATTTTCCACAACCGGAAATTTGCAGCAACTTACAGAAGCAAAGGGAGTGTATTACGTAAAAGCCAGTACTACTTGCATCTGGTTACCAGCGTATTCACTACTGAGAGAACTGCTGCTGTACGAGGCACACGACGGGGTTACCTCGGGTAACTTCGGGGTAGAAAAAATGCGACAACAACTGCTGCGGTAGATTACTGGCCAAAGCTGTTGACAAACGAACGGCACCACGTCGGATGAAGAGCTCGCGAAAGAGAAAGGCGGGTCAATTGCACCTGATTCCACTGCCCGAGCGCTCCTGGCAGTAAATTACCATGGATTTCGTCACAGGGTTACCTTCGAGCCCTGGGGATAATGACGCGGTTATGGTCGTCATTGACAGACTGACGAAAATGGCTCACTTCGCTGCGTGTAGGGAATTGATCTCAGCCGAAGAAACTGCTCGATTGTTCGTAGCAGCCGTTGTTCGACTGCATAGGATGCCGGCCGCGATAATTAGCGACCGCGACACGAAGTTTACCAGCAACTTCTGGAAGAACCTTTGGGAGCAGTTCGTTACCATGCTACAGTTCAGCTCGTCGTACCACCCCGAGACCGACGGTCAAACGGAGCGGACGAACCAGACCATGGAGCAGCTGATTCGTGCCACGTGCAACGACCCTACAACATGGGAGCAGCAACTGCCACGTATCGAGTTTGCCTACAACAATGCCACGTCAGCGACGACGCAGCAGTCCCCGTTTTACCTGAACTACATGCAAAACCCAACAATGATTATGACGCGGAGTCCGGACAACCCCACGCCACGCGCATAACAGTTCGTCGAGATTTTGCAGCATACCCGAACCATAGCATGAACACTCGGCAGGACATTAGGATGACATGCACTCAGAATGACGTGCATCCAACAAGATCTGCACTCGAGCCCCTGCTCTCCTGAGCTGCCTTCTCCACACAGTCGCTCCCAATGGCCCATCTCTTTTCCAATCTACTTATATGTGGATCCTCCTATCCAGTCATGGGCTTTCTACCCTCCAGTTTGGAGAAGAGGGGTAAAAACTTCCCACCACCAGCTTATTCAGATAGTTGTTTCTAGAACCAAGTCGATGCATGTTCAGATCATGGATCTCGTTTGTCATCCTTGCACACAGCACGCTTGTAAAACTGCGTCGCTCTCCCTCTTTGTGACGTGTTTACAATCTCTGTCAATGGCTGCGCACTTGCGTTAGTGTTATACATGCTTTGATAACAACTCTGCCCCCTTATTGCCTATTTGCAACAGGCCGGATGGTCTGTATCTTGAGACATCAGCCTTGTGTTCCTCTCGCTGACTTACCTTTGGAAAATCATATTACAGTATGCAGGAAACAAACCGGCAAGAAACAATAGATTGGTTATGGTTGGGCTAGCTCTACCAAAGTGCTCTGCTTATCCCAAGCTAGGTACTTACGAGCACATGGCGTGCTTACTCTGTGATGAGCAATATGCATCTCTAGGTAGAGTGTGACCTTATCGTAACCACTGGCTTGCGTATCTCCACTGCCTCTAGGCTTGCTTCCATGGATATGCACCATTAGAATCCTCCAAACACTCCTAGATCCTTAGCACCAACGTTCGTAAAATGCCTCCAACTACCTTGTATTATGCATGCCGCAATAATGCAAGCCCTATATCCGAATCAATCCTATTCACCTTTAGCTGCTGCAATATTTCGCGCTGCTCCATAGTAGTGTCAGAAACTAACGAGCAGGAATGAGTGCACTAGGCAGAAATGAGAGTACAAGTATAACCTTAATTGGGTTGTACCTTATATGGGCAAACACAACACAAACATGATTATAGTTTTGACACACCCCCATAGGCAAAGTGGGGGAGAACCAGTGGTCACAAGACCAGTCAAGAAAATAAAGCAAACTCAAAGCGGATCACGAAGTCACCACACACTCAGTGTTATATAAAAGATACCAAACAGTACACAGATCACTACCTAGCAAGTGTAAGCATGCAGGTATATATATAGATCACAGTACAAACAAAGTCAAGCAGTGAGCAAGGGAGGCAGAGCAAGCACAAGGCCTAAAACAGTACAGAAGCGCTGATGATCACCAGGCGGAAGTGCCTCAGAGAATATATCAGCAGTGTTGGCCCGAGTGGCCACGTAAGCAAGACGAAGCTGACCACGCTGCTGCAACTTTCGAGCAAGGAAGTAACGCAGAGCGATGTGCTCCAGTTTGTGCTCCCGACAAAAGGCAATAGCAGCCTTGTTGTCTACGTACAGAACTGGAGGAGAACGAGGCCGCTCTCCCAAGTCGGTCAGCAGGTAGGTAAGCCAGCGTAACTCCTGTGCAGCCATGGCTCCCACATAGATTTCAGCCTCACAACTGGAGCTGAGAACAGAAGACGAGCGGGTAGACTGCCAAGAAACAGAGCCAGAGCCAAGGCTGAACGTGTAACCCTGTGACGACCGCTGCGTAACCAGGTCGTCAACCCAAGAAGCGTCTGAGTGACCTGTAAGGACAACCAGACCCCGCCCTCCAAGTACGAGAGAGTGAGAGTGTCGAACCCGTCGTCAATACTACTTATGTCACTCTCCACATCTTCATCGTCCCCTATCGCATCAGCATGTGGTTCCTCATTTACCACATGCTGTCGTGCGTGGCCGCTTGCCTCTCCATCAGCGTCGGCTTGACGAGACCGTGCAGGTGAAGGTGGGCGTTCGCCCCGCATGGCTCGTACTGCATCTCGATACGCCTCCACGAGCCACTCCGCCCTAGCGTGGTTAATCTTACGTCTGCATCGTCTGTTGCCTGACAAGTGAGACTGCAGCGTATTATCATCCACGTGCTCGTCCCCTCACGCCTCGCATGCGTTGCCCAACATCGCTACAGCGGGTAAGAGGAAACCCTAACTCCATGCGTTGTACAACTGCCAGGGCCTCGCCAATATAGTATAATGTTCCGGGTGTGTTAATGTTTTATGGCCGGACACCCAGTGTACGGTTCATCGGGTCAGTACGCTTATCTGCGTTGTTCTGTGCTACTTGTGTCTAACCTAAACGTACGACCAACCCCCGGTGCGACGTGGTTGGGCTTGTGACGCCATCAGGTTGGTATTCGGTATGCCAATCGGTCGCCTACAATTTGTAGGGTAACACATTTCCGATGGTGCAAAGCATTGTCTCGCTAAGAGTCCCACCAAAACACTACCTTCTACAACAACATATGATTCAAATAAGGGCAACATGTATTTTGCCACCAACTGAAAATAACTGATATTCACGTCATTCCAGGGCATTCAATAAAAATACATCACACATTACTAGACCGCTTCTGCACCCCCTCCAGTTCCTGCATCACCAGACCATTTATGTTGGCTGGACTACATACAACTTAGGTACGTGGCCTTACTCGCTTAGCCACTTCCTCAACCGCTTGCTAATAATCAGTGTCCAAATCGATGCTGCTGGATCAGCCCCACCGTAAAGTGTGGGTTCCTTATGGTGCTCAACAGACTGTTGATGTCCCTGCTTGACAGTCCCCCTGTGTGCCAACAGCTGATGAGGTAATTCAGCTCTCGAAAACTGTCTTCTAATGAACCATCATCGCCCGTCGCAATCCCTTCGTCATCTGCCCGTGCATCTTCTGCCAAAACAACGATCGGCCCTCGAATCGCCCGCTTTTGTGCAATGAGTCCGGCGCAGTGCACGCTGTGGTTTTGGTGCGCGTATAGCGATATTTGATTCAATAGTGCAGCGCCTCATGCGTATCCGTAATGGTGTTGACGTAGACAAGGTGTTTAGGGTTGATGCCTCCCTAATGGCCAGCCCTCCGAAAGGGGTTTATTTTTTTTCACTGGCCACTAGACTAATACCAGGTAACTTAATAATTTTTCTGGTCACCGGAAACTGGAAATGTCGAAATCAGCTGCCCCAAGGAATCGGACGCGAGCGGAAAAGCGAGGCGGTGTCAAAGCCACTGCCCAAAGGAATCGGAAATCCGAAACCGGGGCGGTTCGTCATTTCCTCGCAACCCTGAGTCACCCGAGTCCAGAAACTTGGCTCCTCCAAGAAGCTGATCAATTCAAGCTCACACTAGTCGAGTAGCAGCAAACCGGAAGAAACGTTGAGCGCAGCAATTAATAGAGCGCGCTTCCGTGCCATAGAATCGGTTACACGTTGCGCTGCACACAATATCGCGGCTGATTTGTCTGCGGCAACATCCAGGGGACTGCAGCACGACCGTCATAGCGCGATTTGAGTCGACTAAAAAAAGACACAGTGACTGTGTGCACCGGCGCAACCGCCGTTTACTAACGGCGGCGTCGGATATCAACGGCGCCGTCGACGGCGGCGTCGGATATCAACGGCGCCGTCGACGGCGGCGTCGGATACCACCGGCGCAACCGCCGTTTACTAACGTTGTGAACTCTCTGCGTTTACTCTCGGAGAGTAAACTGATCATAGCACTCGGAGAGCGCAAGAAGCGGCTTCAGTTGCGACAGTTAGTATAAGTAGCAGCTGCCACACGAAGCGACGCCAGCAGAGGAGTTCAGCCCAGGCAGTTTCACAATTTCGCGAAACGCGTAGTACTTCGTCGCACAGACGCAGGCGTCGCACCTGCCACGGGCTCTCTGTCGCACAGTCGCGGAGGTGGTGTTTGTGGTTCTCCGAGTTTAGGTTGAACGCAAGGAGTTCGCAGGAGCTGTCGCAGGAGCTGTCGCGAAGGTAGTGCTTTCCTTCGCGGAAAGTTTGCCGCTCCTCTGTTGCTGTTGCGTTTGGTGGTCGTGTTTACCTCTTGGGTTTTTCGACTGGCAAGCACGATGTCTGTTTCCCGTGACGGTCAACGCAAGAGTCAACGCGAAGGCCAACGTGAGGGTCAACGCTTCTCGCGATCCCCAGCCTCGCCTATCGCCGCCGTAGGTAAGCCACCGTGTTTGAAATCAGATAATCGCCTTACCCTGCTTGTTCACCTGGCTGCCTTGATAGCCTCCTGCCCGTTCCCCTGACTGCTTCTCTCCTCCGCCATCGCTCGTGCTTGCAGCGGCGCTTCTCGCCTTTGTGCTGCCGTCTCTCGCTCTCGCCAGCAGCACGGGGGAAGGTGAGGCCACGCGTTTCTGGAATCTGCTGTGCCTGCTGCTTCTCTTGTGCCTGCTTTTCCTTTTTGTCTGTTGTTTCTGCTGCTTTTCTTGACTCAGCCATCCTCTCTCTCCCCCACCCCCATCTATTCATTCTTCCCTCTCTTCCACTCCCCCATTCTCCATTCTCCGCCCTCACTCGACCCCTCCCACCATCTCCCACCTGATTGCTCCTCGCCTCTCACCCTGATTGCCCCCACCATCTTCCACTCCCATCCCTCCATTCCTCGTCTCCTTCCTGTCTTTCCCTTCAGCTCACTTCGCAGCCCATCTGTTGAACGCCCATGGAATGCGAGGCACTATAAGCATATCCGTCTCAAGGTAAAGATCGCTCTAATTGACTGCCATGCTGCATCTGGTATTGTTCGCATTTCGCAATCTGTCTTTGCCTTACATCGTTCTAAACCCCGGTCCCCATACTGTTTCGGTATGCATCAATCGCCCCCCTATGACTCACGAGGTGTCCCCAAGGTGTGCTTTGATCCAGGTGTGTCATCTCCTCCTGCCTCCCCCATTTCCTTCCTCACTACCACAGGTCCATATCGCGAGGCACAGCCCCCGGCCTACACCATCCGCTTCAGTGCTGCCGTTGCTGACGCCCACTCCCCTGCCCTCCGCTTCCCCTCCCCGTCCCCTCCTCCTCCCGTTTCCTCACTACCACAGGTCCATATCGCGAGGCACGGCCCCGGCCTACAGCATCCGCTTCAGTGCTGCCGTTGCTGACGCCCACTCCCCTGCCCTCCACACCCGTCGTCTCCTCTCTGCCTCCCCCATTTCGTTTCATGACTTTCGCAGGTCCATATCGCGAGGCATGGCCCCGGCCTACAGCATCCGCTTCGGTGCTGCCGTTGCTGGCGCCCACTCCCCTCCCAGCCACCTCCTCCTCTCGCTGCCACGTGGCGCGCCGCCATTGGCCCTCTGCGGAGACGGCTCCGCTGGCTCTGCCGGCTCTGCTGACCATGCGGGCTGTGCTGGGTGTCAGTGGGTGGCAACAACGCCGTCTGTGTGGGAGGCAGCGGGGGAGACGAGGGTGAGAGGGGCGGATGTGCGGCAGGGGCAGGGGAGGGCGTTAGAAGAATTGCTTACTGCGGCAGGGGGGGGGAATGGGAATGGAGGGGATATAGTTGCGAGAGTGGGGAATGGGGAGGGGAATGCGGAGGGGGAGGGGAGTGGGGGTGATGTGTTGACAGGGTATGGTGTGCGAACTGCAGGGGTGGTTGGAGGAGGGGAGGAGGGGCATGGTGATTTGGTGGGAGTGCTACGGAGAAGCCGCGAGTATAGTCATGGTACGTGGTGAGGTGAGGTGATGTGAGGTGAGGCGTGGTAGGTGTGGACAGGATTCGGAGATTTTTCAAAAGCCACTTCCCCGGCCCTCCCTCCCCTACCCACTTGATCTTTTTTTTTTTTTTTTTTTCCCAAAAAGCAACCCCTTCCCCAACTCTAGACCATGTCATCTTGATAGCATTGCGTGCCCAGATTAACCACTCTGCACCCCCTGCCATCTCTTGCTTTCCTCCCACCCTCCCAACCCTCCCCCTCTCCCTTCCCTCCCACCCCTCCCATCCCCCCCTCTCTTCCCTTCCTTCCTTCTCTTACCTCCCTTCCCCCTCTCCCTTCTCTTCCTCCTCGTCCATCCCCCCATCCCCCCTTCTCCCACAGCAGACACCATAAGTCCGCGCTACACCCCACCCCCTTTCCTCCTCCCCCGCTTCTCCCTCGCCCTCCCCCCCCCCCCCTCTTTCCCCGGTGCTCTATGTTTTAGGCGCCTCAAACACAGACTCTCCCACCCACGCCTCTTTCTCGTCCATTCCCCATCCCCCATCCCCCCTCCCCCCACGGCAGACATCATTGTTCCGCCCTCCCCCCCCCTCTCTCCCCCCGGGTCTCTATGTTTTAGGCACCTCAAACACAGTCTCTCTCACCCACGCCTCCTTCCTCGTCCGTCCCCCACTCCCCCTCCCCCCACGGCAGACATCATCATTCCGCGCTACCCCCCACAGGACCTTGAGAATTCTCAAAGTCACACCAATATAGCTGGCCTTCAAACCCCTCGTCCATCCCCCATTCCCCCTCCCCCCACGGCAGACATCATCATTCCGCGCTACCCCCCACAGGACCCCCGCCTGGAAGTGCGGCTGAAGGGGGGAATGGGGGAAAAGGCGGAGATGGGGGAGGGACTTGCGGGGGGCATGCGCGGAGGGGCGTTTATGCTGGGAGCTTTCAAGTAAGATGGCCACTGCTTGATACATTTATTTTGTTCTTTTCTCGAGACAAGAAGTAACAGTCATGGGAAACGACTGGAAGCAGTTTGGATGCAGAAAGATTCTGCAGCTTGTGTTCTGAGTTCTTGTTTTCAGCACTTTGCGCAGGTGCACCTCTTTGCGCATCTGTTTCCTTTGATTGTTTTTTTGCTTGTTTGTTTGCTTGCTTTATTATTCATCTGTTTTCCAATAATTCTTATCTTCAACAGCTCCAATCTCACGCCGATTCTGAATTACGTCAACCCTCTGTTTTCAGCGGTCGCGTGGTGGTAAATCACAACATCTGCATCATGGGCCTGTGTATGATCTCACTAACTCCCGCTGTTCCCTTGCGTCTTCTCCCGATTCCTTCAGGGACGGTCGCGTGGTGGTGAATTACGATATCCGTGTTATCGGCCCCCCGTTATGATCTCACTAGCTTACTAACTCCTGCTGTTCCCTTGCTTCTTCTCCCTTCTTTCCTTCAGGGACGGTCGCGTGGTGGTGAATTACGATATCCGTGTTATCGGCCACCCGTTATGATCTCACTAGCTTACTAACTCCTCCTATTCCCTTGCTTCTTCTCCCTTCTTTCCTTCAGGGATGGTCGCGTGGTGGTGAATTACGATATCCGTGTTATCGGCCCCTCGTTATGATCTCACTAGCTTACTAACTCCTGCTGTTCCCTTGCTTCTTCTCCCTTCTTTCCTTCAGGGATGGTCGCGTGGTGGTGAATTACGATATCCGTGTTATCGGCCCCGCGCAAAAACCTTCCGCCATCAACCTTCTCGTTGACTACCCCGAACCGTCCTCGTTACAAGCCACCTCGTTACAAGCCACCTCGTTACAAGTCGCCTCGTTACAGTGTGACTCATGGGCCGAGTTGAAACCGCAGATGTGGGTGGCGCAATGCAGCAATAGCTGGAGCAGCGGCGGCGGCGGCGGCGGCAGCAGCAGCAGCGGCAGCAGCAGTAGTGCTGGTTCTTTCCAAGGAAACATGTCTGAGGGCGTGTTCAATCGGTTTGCTTGCTTCGCTGTGGACGGTGTCCCGTCTCCCAGTGTCGCCATGCTGTCAGTGTTTATCGGCAAAATTGGCAAGTCAGTTGTTGGAACCACTGAAGCTGGCTCGCTTGTAGGAGGCATAGTGTGGAGGGCCCCACTTGGGGGGGTGGAGCAGGGGGAGCAGCAGGGGGGGCAGCAGCAGGAGGAGCAGCAGCAGCAGCAGGAGCAGCAGAAGCAGCAGCAGAGTGAGCAGCAGAGTGAGCAGCAGAGTGAGCAGCAGAGTGAGCAGCAGAGTGAGCAGCAGAGTGAGCAGCAGAGTGAGCAGCAGAGTGAGCAGCAGAGTGAGCAGCAGAGTGAGCAGCAGAGTGAGCAGCAGAGTGAGCAGCAGAGTGAGCAGCAGAGTGAGCAGGAGGAGCAGCAGAAGAAGCAGAGTGGTGGTGGAGCTGTTGCAGCTGCAACAGAGGCTTTAACTGCGGCTTCTCTCAAAGTCCCTGGTGCCAGTGCTTCTTTCAACATGGATGTGGGTAAAGCTTCCGAGAGTGCTGAGGCTGGTGGGAGTGCTAATGCTGCTGGGGGTGCCGAATCAGCGTCTGCTTCCAAGTTTGAAACGTCCGAGTTTACCTGTGCTGGTGATGCTGAGGGTACCACTACCTACTGGAACCACGACTTTCCTGGTTCAGAAATTAATGGTACGGATATCCGTGTTCGTGGCCGCTCTTATGTATGCCATAGGCTCTCCCATATGTCACTTATTCCCCAACTGCCACATCTGCCATATGAGCACCATGGCAATGTGTCTTCTGCATTGCATGATGCTTGTTACAGGAGCAGTTTCGTGTGATGCTGGGGCTGCAGTTGCATCGTGCTGACAATCTATAATAATACTATATTACGGTATACCGTATGTATTGTACGTGTATATTTTGAGGCTTGGTTGGGTTGATTTTGCTTTCCTAGTTGTACCTCTTGTATGTCTCATTTTAGTCCATTCGTTCTATCCTCTTTCTCTCATGGTATCAACTCTTCCGCCCGCCTACCCCTCACAAAGAATAAATTCTCACTCACCGGTACTTTTGGAGGTTTGCTAGTATTGCCATTCTCTTTTTTTTTTTTTCATAATGTGTACACTGGTTACGACCTTTTCAAACCGGTTCAAACCGCCCTCCGAGCTTGGGTCGGATAGCCTCGCTGGGCTACTTCGGTTGACTCCAACGAACAACGCCCCTCCACCCTGACTCGGCATTTTCTCTCGCCACCTTTCCCGCCAACTACGCAACCGCAAATCGCCATTTGCGGCAAGCTATCTCTAGATAGAGCGTCACCGTCCATTCCGCCGCCTCCCTACTATTCGCGGGGGCTCTGGCTCAGTCATGATACTACAGACTGTATACAGTATGCACGATGCACGCCGATGTCTCTTCCGTGTCTTGATTCACGCAGCAGAAGCTCCACAACCAGACCTAATTAGTTTTATCCGAAGTCACGCATGGTCTGGAACCTCATCCCCACCAATGTTCAGCGTTTGACTTGGAAAGACTCATCCGCGAGTTTGCGAAAATGTTTCCGCCGGAATCGCTAACATTTTATTTCTGTCGTTTTGTTTTTTTCCCGCCGGAAAATGTCATCCGTGGCGGAAATAATCATCGCCAAGAGTTAGGCTGGAGGCTCACTGAGAGTCGCAGAGGCCTGCTATTTTCCCCGCCAGGACTTTGAAATAAAATTCCTCTACAGAATCGTCGGCTCTAAGTCTTGCGGTCAAACGCGGCAAGACAGATTCTGTCAAAGCGAACTTCGCTGCATACCCTACCCTAGTTGTCGGTGCGACCGATATGATGTCTTCGAGTCCCCTCCTCCGCAGCGTCGCCGATTTTGGCGGTGCCTTGCCACCAAACCCGGACGGCCTATCGAAGGGCTTCCAGGCATGGATTTGGCTCGCGGCGCTAGTGAAAGCGCGGCAATCCGATGGGGTATTTCATGGCTTCTTTCCAATATCAAGCCAGGGATTTCGTACTAACCAGATTTCCATCCTCCTTGCTTGTTACGTTGCAGCTAATCGTGCCAGATTGATACAAACTAAAAACATTTCGTCCTACGATGGCCGCAGTGTCTGCCAGGCTCAGCCTACCCTCCCGCTCGCAATTTCTCTCTTTTTTCTGCTGTGTAGCTAAGGGAGCCTCAGCCGTGACTGTCACCGCCGCCGCCTCGTTAGCGCTGCTTTTGCTCTGGCTGTATCACTTCTCCTCCCGCGTGAGCCCAGATGTGGTGGCAGTCCGCGATTACTTAGACTCTTGTGTCGGCGTGGGTGTTGCGTATCGTGGCATTCACACTGGCACGCCCTTTTTCCGCGGTATTGCGTGCTCTGATGTGGTGAACGCTGCTGCCATTCGCGGTAAAGCAGGCTTCGACAACGGTAACAGAATTCTTTGGCGGAACATGATGCAGCAGCAGGGTGGTTATGACAGCAGGAGCAGCAGCAGCGGCAGAAGCAGCAGCTCCAACAACCGAGGCCGCAGTATCAGGGGGCGGAAAGTTGTTGCTGCCGATCCAGGAACATCTGGTTTGGTCATCCCCGGTTTAGGATCAGGGCGCTACCCTAGAGGCGGTAGTAGCAGCGAAGGAGTGGCAGACAATGGGGGAAGGGATGGCTGCCAAGTCACGTATGACTCCACAGTAGACCCTCGCGACTTAAAGCCAACGTCAGCTTTCACGTACTCCAACTGCAGCATCGAATGGATCACCTTCTCCACCCGGTGTGGGAAAGGCGTTCAACGCTTAGCTAAGTTCTGCGAGATGAACGGGATTCAGCTCGCAGTGCTGGGTTTAAACGAGACCTGGCAGGGACTGGGAGGTCGTGTGAGATACTATCGAGAGTACCTAAGGACATTGCCAAAGGATCGAATTGTGATTGTAACGGATGCTGATGATGTCCTGCTGCTGCCAAACAGGCAGCTATGCGGACCAGATTCGCTAATCAAGGCGTTTCTGTCCCTCAACGCTCCTGTTGTTTTTGGAGCTGAGATGTTTGCATATCCAACGGGTGACGTCATCCCCTTCTACCCTCAGAAGCTGAGACCTCCCTTTCCGAATCGACACGTTAACGCAGGGTCCTATGTTGGGTATGCATGGGCTCTTGGCGAAATGATGGATGCTACGTACACGAGTGACTGTATGGAGGACCAGCGGCAATTTGTAGCGGCGTATTTAGCCCAGCCGTTCCTGTTTAACTCTCTCCCACGCACGCCGTACCCAAACACAGTAACTGGCAGCCACGGAGGTACCAAGCCATCCAACAAAGACTTGGTTACTGAATCTGATTCTTCTATATCCTCGTCTGCTGCTCCTGCACCCGGCACGCTGCGGTACTTCTGCTCTCTTCCTGGACCAGTCCAAGCCCTGATTCCTCAAAACGTCACCCCAGCAGGACTGGAAGAGGCCAGGCAGGCAGCGCCGCCGCCGTTTATCAAGCTGGACCATTACAACGCTCTGATAGAGCTGCTGGGAGGGCGGAGGTCGGAACAGTATGAGGTGCAAGGGACTGGTGTGGAGATCAAGGTGTTTTCGAAGGTGACCAAGGCGTATCCTTGTGTTTTTCACCAGTCGGGGGATAAGACGACTAGCGGGGTGGTGTATGAGATAGTGGGGAATGGGACCCTGGATGCTATTGCATTTGAAGGGATGGATTTGTAGTAAACAAGTGACAATCCACTTTGAGATTTTCCATGTCAGAATTCAATTCTTACCATCGTTCAAAGCGTTAGAAAAGAAAGTGTACCATCTTGAGAATCAGTGCAATGAACAACCAACTATTTTCTCCTTGGTAATGTTGGCTGCACGTAATGTTGTCAAAACAAGAACATTAACTGAACGTCAAAAGCTGATCAGACCGAATTGCACCGTCTGTAATAAAGAGAGAGTGCAGAAGCAAATTGTAAGATTTAGGGCGTCTTTTTAGTCGGTGCCATCTGCTGTCCTGTCACTCAGCCTGGATTTCTTTTCGAGACGCGAATTTCCTTTTTGGGCTACAGGTCTTCCGATTTGGGATGAGGCGAGTTTTAGCGAACAGGATTTACGAGCCGCGTTTGACCCAGGCGAACACTCAGAGACCAGCGTTGCGACATAATTTTGTAATTGCGACAGTTTCGCAATTCACATTTAGCCTCGTGCTCCATCTGGAACCATTTCCCTCGTTGAACACGCCCCGAACCCCTTTTGCGCTTTCCTCTTCCCGCTGCTCTCCCTTCCTCCACCACCCTTTCTACTTCCCCCTTTCTTCCTGGCATTTTTCTGTAGCCGCCCAGTGTGAGTGGGCCTATTCGCGCTGGGTGAATCTTCCACAGAGCTTGGCGAACCTTTCACTGAGCTTGGCGAACCTTATCACGGGGCTTTTCCCACTCACTCGTCCTCCTTTTCTCACCTCGCCCTCTCACTCGCCCTCACTCCTTTTCCCACTCACTCGCCCTCTCTCACCTCATTCTGCTGCTTCCATAGTTAAATGCAATGAAAATACGTAGCCGCGAAAAACCTCGCTTCACTAATGGGCTTTAGAACCTTTGGGGGCCGAGCTAATGGATTCTTCCAGAGATTTAAACGGTTCTTTAGTCGACAAAACAAACCAGCTTTAGAGTCTTGTCGAGCCGAGCTGATTGATTCTTCCATGAACATAGACGATATTCCCGATGACATTCTCGCGAGGATCTTATTCCGCAACGAGCAACCCGTGCCTGGGAAATTGGACAGTGACGAGGTCTTGGGAGTGATACCCTTGACGCGAAAGGACCTCCGTATGATTCGCATTGAGAAAGACACACTATCGCCAACGCCTCCTCCTTCAGCGAACCTTCGCAAAATTCTCCTCATCTCCTCCGTCTGCTGTCGCTGGCGGCGTCTTTCGCGAATCTGCGTCGCCACGCTTCACCTCACCGCCAATGACCAAGCCGCCGTTTGTAGCGAAAAACTCGCCAATTCTCTTGCTTCCTTCCCGAACCTCACCCACCTCCATATTAGCAACGGCAGCGTGAGGACTATAAACGACGCCTTTCTCGCTCGCCTCTCCTCGTCATGCCGCAATCTCAAGTTTCTCCACATTGGAACCCCATCGGTGGCTGAGGATGCGTTTGGATTGACCTCATTAACGAAGGAAGAGCACCCAATCACAGACGATGGCTTGGATCTGTTTTTCCAACGGTGCTCTCAGCTGGAGCAGCTCTCGCTCCACTGCCTCCATCCAGACGTTGAGCTTCGCGCTTCTTTTTACCGGCTAGCGCATCTGCACACTCTCGTTCTCCCAAGTGTTTTCGTGCTCGAAGCTCCCGAGTTTGTAAACCTTGCTTCGCTCACCCATCTTCACACCGTTCCCGGTCAAATCTTGATCAATACGCACCTTGATAGCATCGCTCGCCTCCCACGCATGACCACTCTTTCCATGTCCGGCAGCGGCACACGACGTTGCTAAGATTAGGGTTACGACCGTCGTGAGTTCGATTTCGCTGATCATCTGCTCCTTCTGGAGTCGTTGAAGCTCAATTTCCGCTTGAATTCATCGTCGCCCTGCACTGCACCAGCATCCAACGGCTGGAGATCCTCAGGATGGGCCGTGGAGATAGACAGCACTGCACCTTCCTGAAGACATTGGACTGTTGTTGCTGTTAGATCTCAGGATGGGCCGTGGAGATAGGCAGCACTGCACCTTCCTGAGGACTTTGGCCTGCTGCTGCCGTGTCTGTGCTGCTTCTCTCAGGCCTCCCGCCTAGCTCCATGTTCTGAGAGAAGCAGCACAGACCCGGAAGCAGCAGAGAGGCCTCCCATTGCTCCATGATGGGAGAGAAGCTGTGCTGTGATGCTTCTCTCAGGCCTCGAAAACACTGGTGCTGCACACGCTGCCTCAGTCCCACCTCCCTGACTCCCTCCGCCAACTCACTTTCCAAAAACTCGTGCGAAAACAAACTGACCAGTGGGTAATAATCCCTAGAGATCCCTAGAGGCCCTTTTTGTAGAGGAAAGAACAGAGGGCAGAAGGCAGGGGGCAGGGGGCAGAGGGCAGAGGTCACAGGGCTAACCCCTTCTCTCTCGCTCTCTCGTTCAGGGTTGTCCTCTGCCGCGTTCCATTTCACAAAGCATGGAACAGCGACAACGCATCTGGCTTGAACTGACAAAACTCGGGAGTCAAAGTGACACTTATAATCTCCGCTTTTTTTTGGGTTGCAAAGCAACCTATTACGATCGTTATGTACAATTTTTTTTTCAACCTCGAAAAAAAAATATAAAAAAAATGTAGTGAACGGTAGTTATGGTAAGTGATTGACTGCTACGGTATGTATTTGCCTCGGCAATTCGCCACATTCGTTCTCATTTCCTAGTTTGCCTCGACTGAACCTACCCGTATATTGTATGGATCAAACATGAACATGTGTTGCCGAAATGATGTTACTGTGAACGCATGACTGTCTATTCCGTACCATGTTATGCATAGATGAAGTATAATGATGGATATGGTGAACCAAATATTGAATGAACAATGCATAAATATAATGCATATGCTACTGTGGTAAATATACCATAGTATATTTTCCAGCTTTAAGTCGTAGTTAAATGAATGCTTAGCATGATGGAAATGCGTAACAGTTAATTGACACAGGCTCTATGCTACCGCATCCCCTGCCTAGCATGGGGGGAGCTCAATAGCATAGTTTCTGAATCATCCAACCGTTACATGAAACAACACAATCTGTGTAAATTAAAAAAATAATCAAGATCCATCAAATCCAGTTCAAGTGGACACACTCACTGAGTGCGCAAAGAACCTTCTCGGAAATGATGGTTTGACCATCTTTTTAAAACCCACAGATCCGCATTGTTAATGCGATGACAGATGCATACGGATGAGTGTGCACACACAAAGACACGCACTGACACACATACCGATATGCACACAACTCAGACAGAATCCGTTCACACACAAAAGGGCAATGCAAAAAAAACAATAAAAACAATAAAACAAATGCAAACAAGATTTATCAATACAATACAGCTCTACAAGTCACGACTATTATCGTTACACTTCATAAGAAATCCTGGCAGCGCGCAGGAAATAGCAAAGCCTCTGAACATTAAAAAAAGGGGGGGGGGGAAGGAGGGGAGGGAAGGGTGGTGGGGGGAAAGAGAGGGGAAGGAGGGGAAGTTTAGATTCTCGTCCAATAAACAGCAAATAAGAGGAAGGCTTAGGACAAGCGAGCTAAATATTGTAAAAAGGCGATTAACCTATTGCTTGTAAAAAGGCGATTAACCTATTGCGATGGGTTAAAAAAAAAATCCTATTAACGGTTATAAAAATCAAGAGAAAAAAATGAAACACGATTCAAATAACACGATCTGAAATAAAGGGAAAACGATCTAAGTAACACCAGGAAATGAGGAGGCAGAAAGCAGACTTACAAAAAAACAATGACCGTTAAAAAGAATGGAAAGGAAACGAGAAAAAAACGTGAGAGAAAAAGAACGAGAGAACGAGAACGAGAGAACGAGACAGAATGGAAAAGAGAGAACGAGAAAGAGAGAACGAGACAGAACGGAAAAGAGAGAACAAGAGAGAGAGAGAGAGAGAGAGAGAGAGAGAGAGAGAGAGAGAGAGAGAGAGAGAGAGAGAGAGAGAGAGAGAGAGAGAACGAGAGAGAGAGAACGAGAGAGAGAGAGAGAGAGAGAGAGAGAGAGAGAGAGAGATAGAGAGAGAGAGATAGCTATCTAGAGAGATATATAGATCTCTATCTCCTCTCTCTAGAGAGCTCGCTCTCTCTCTATCTCGCTCTCTCTCGCTCTCTCTCGCTCTATCTCTCCTCTCGCTCTCGCTCTCTTTCAATTTTTCCTTCTTCTCAGGAGAAGGAACGCGTTCAGGCTAACAAAGAAAAGATAACCATGGAAGAAAACAAATATGTAACAAGAGAAACGAATGGTGGAAACAAACGAGGTGCAAGAGAAGGTACACGGCTAACAAAAAAACTAACGTTAAGATCAAGATGGAAAGAGGAACGGGTAAGAAAAACAGACGAAAGGCGAAAGGAAAGGAAATGAAATAAATAAACGCACCTAGCTACGAACTCACCGAGATATGCCTAAACCGTGCATTGAATGCGAACGAACGTTGAACGACATTTAAAACTGAAAGACACAAATCTAGTGAAAGACCTAAAGCTAAAGTATCTACAACAATTCTAGAACCTAAGCCTTAAACAACATGCGGCCAATACTATGCTAAACGACTACGATATGAGACCAAGAAATGGTAGTCTAGCGTGTAATGATCTAATTTGGCTCAAAATGATAAGTTAGGGTGGTTCTTACCTTGCACTAGTAGGTGGAGCGTGTTTGGCGGGGAGCTTAACTAGGGAGAAGGAGCAGCGGGAGAAAAAAAGGACGAACAAACCCTAAGGGAGTCTTGGATTCATCGCACAAAACAATCAGTTACATTTTTTCGTGGCACGATACGCTCGGTGCTGTCGCAGTCGACTTAGGAGTGAAGCTGGATTCGCAAGGTCTCCAGTTCAATTCCAACTGAAGTGAAATTTTGAATCCTTGCCGAATTTTGTCCCTCTTAGTGTCATACTACAGCAAATGTACAGAATTAGAAGCTGTACAAATTTATGTGATTACGCAAAAAGCTTCGCAACCCTAAGACGATCTAGTCGACTCTTGTTTTTTTTTTTTTTTTATTGAGGCCCTATGCCGGTGAAACAGGGTTACCTTACCGACACAATGTTCCCTTGCAGCTAAGCTGTGAAAGCTCTGCAATGGCCCTGGGAAATGGGAAATGACAGTAGCTCATTCTCCTTCCTCAAGCTGGTTGATGCTGGTGGGAGAATGTACCTTGCTGGCCTGATGTTCCCTTGCTGCGAAAGCTGCGGAAACTCTGCTTTGGCTCCTGGGAACGCGAAGTGTTTTCATGAAGTAGTGGCAAATACGCACCTTTTTTTTTTTTTTTTTGGTAAGTTTACCATAAGAAGAACCTGGGGTGGTACATCCCGGGGATTATGTTAATAGCTTCGCCTAGAGATACCGTTTTTGTGAGGGCAAATAAGGGCAAATATGATTTCAGGCAGGAATCTCCTCCCTCAAGGCACTGGCGCTGCTCCCGGCTCCGGCTGCTCTTCTGCGCTGCACGTCCCAATTGTGCACCCTCGCTACAGTCACCTGCGATACAAAGGAAAGATGTAAAAGAAGAGGATTGGAAGGGGGTTCTGGCAACAGGATTCATTCGTGCACGAATGGGACAGCACATGCAATGGAAGAAAGAACTGCAGAAAAGTTCAGAAGAGGTGCCTAGCAAAGAAGACCAGATGTAATCATTTGTGTTTTGACGCCTCAAAACGTGATTGGGACAGCACATCCAATGGAAGAAAGCACTGTAGAGGAAGTTCAGAAAAGGTGCCTCGCAAAGAAGACCAGATGTGATTATACAGAGTCTAGATACTAAAGCATGGAGGTACCATACCTCGGTGATGTTGATCTGATCGCGCACAAACAGCAGGTCACCATCGATGTTTGCAAGGCTGCTCGTGGCATTCTCCTCGTTGCGCGCCAGCAGAGCGAGAGCCTGGTCGCACGGGTGGGAGAGCGGAAAGACAAGTGTGAGAGAACAAACAGCAGGTCACCATCGATGGCTGCAAGGCTGCTCGTGGCATTCTCCTCGTTGCGCGCCAGCAGAGCGAGAGCCTGGTCGCACGGGTGGGAGAGCGGAAAGACAAGTGTGAGAGAACAAACAGCAGGTCACCATCGATGGCTGCAAGGCTGCTCGTGGCATTCTCCTCGTTGCGCGCCAGCAGCGCAAGAGCCTGGTTGCATGGTTGAAATTTGATTGGAATTGGGAGAAAGGGAGTGGAGTGAACTGACCCAAAAGAAGTACCAAAAAGCACATGGAAAGAAGTTTTAAGGGTTCATATTCATTAATTGAATCCAACTTTTACAACGCTTACTCACGCCAATATCATCAGCGCATGGTGGCATTCTCAAGGTAACTTTTGTGTCGACTCAAAAGTCACATGTTGGCATCCTCAAGGCATGCACGCATACACGCATTCCCATCCCATCATCGCCCTGTGCTTCCACCTCGAGGTTCTTTTGGCGTCCTTGGGACTAGCATTATCGCCACAATGAAACCGCGTGATGCTGTCACATGATGTTGTCATGAAGCTGTCACATGATCCACATCGTCACCTTTCCCTTGCCCCACCAGCCAGCCACACAGACACACAGAGTCAGCAGCCGTCACGCGTGAATATGCATGATTTTTATCTCGCTCGTGCGCAACAACGGTGCCATCAAAGGACATGCTGCTGGCATCATGCTGCTGACATCATGCTGCTGACATCATGCTGCTGACATCATGCTGCTGACATCATGCTGCTGACATCATGCTCGCATCCTTCACTACACACTCGCAACGCATGCACTCACCTCATCACACCACAACTTGTTCTTGTCCTCACCTCATCGAACTGACCTCATCAAAGGGGTATTCCACCATCACATTCGCCGCTAGCCACAGGCACACCGAGTTGGCATCCTTCCCACTCTTCTCTGCTTAGTGAGCCATAATGTTGTCAGAATAACATCACATCCGGAGCTTGTGCTCATACTGACACCGGAGCTTGTGCTCATACTGACACCGGAGCTTGTGCTCATACTGACACCGGAGCTTGTGCTCATGCTGACACCACAACTTGTGCTCATACTCACCTCATCAAAGGGGTATTCCACCATGACAGTCGCCCCCAGCCACAGGCACACCGAGTCCACATCATCATGCACACTCGCAATATATGCACTCACTCGCACATGTGCGTGCTTTAGTTTTTCACTCACCTCATCAAAGGGGTATTCCACCATGACAGTCGCCCCCAGCCACAGGCACACCGAGTCCACATCATCATGCACACTCGCAATATATGCACTCACTCGCACATGTGCGTGCTTTAGTTTTTCACTCACCTCATCGAAGGGGTATTCCACCATGACATTTGCCCCCAGCCACAGGCACACCGAGTCCACATCCTTCACGTCTGCTCGGGCGAACACGCCATCCGCCAACACGTAGTCCAGCCGCACTTGCTGCATGCAATCATAGGGTGAGAGGCGTGCAGTGGGGAGGGGAGGAGGAGACAAAATTCGCCCCCAGCCACCGGCACACCGAGTCTGCACGTCTGCTCGGGCAAACACCCCATCCGCCAACACGTAGTCCAAACGCACTTGCTGGCAGAATGGAAGGGGAGGGGAGAGGGGAAGAAATGAACCCATTCAACTCTGCTATGTTCCGCATCCTTCACATCTGCTCGAGCAAACACCCCATCCGCCAACACGTAGTCCAAACGCACTTGCTGCAAACAAGTGCATAGGGAGCAGAGGGGAGGAGATGAAAGGAGGAGAAGCACATGTGTGACCATGACAGTTGCCCCCAGCCACAGGCACACGGAGTCCACATCCTTCACATCAGCTCGGGCGAACACGCCATCCGCCAACACGTAGTCCAGCCGCACTTGCTGTCAGCAGGAGGGGAGGGGAGCAGAGGGGAGGGGGGGAGGAGAAACAGTGGGAGCCACAGGCAAACGGAGTCTGCATCCTTCACATCAGCTCGGGCGAACACCCCATCAGCCAGCACGTAGTCCAACTGCACTTGCTGCAATCACGAGGAGAAGGGCGCAGAGCGGGCAGAGGGGATGAGTAGAAGCAGAAAACTCGTTCCCAGCCACAGGCACACGGAATCCACATCCTTCATGTCAGCCCGTGCGAACACGCCATCAGCCAACACGTAGTCCAGCCGCACTTGCTGTCAGGAGGAACAGAGGGGAACAGAGGGGAACAGAGGGGAGGAGAGGGGAGGAGAAAAGAGGGAGAGAAGCGCAGGTGTGGCCATGACACTCCCCCCCAGCCACAGGCACACCGAGTCCACATCCTTCACGTCTGCTCGAGCGAACACCCCACCCCATCAGCCAGCACGTAGTCCAAACGCACTTGCTGGCATGATGAGGAGAGGGGAAGAGAAAAGGGGGAAGAGAAGCGCAGGTATGACCATGACGTTCGCCCCCAGCCACAGGCACACGGAATCCACATCCTTCACGTCTGCCCGGGCAAACACCCCATCAGCCAACACATAGTCCAGCCGCACTTGCTGGCAGCACGGGGAGAGGGGAAAAGAAAGGCAAAGAAGGAAAGAAGTCAACTTTGACATATGCATTCGCATCCTTCACATCTGCTCGCGCGAACACGCCATCCGCCAACACATAGTCCAAACGCACTTGCTGCACGCAGGGTTCAGGAGGAGAAATGAGGAGAAAGAGAGGGAAGAGCTTAACCCTTGGGCCATAAGCATCCTTCACATCTGCTCGCGCGAACACGCCATCGGCCAACACATAGTCCAGCCGCACTTGCTGGAAGCACGAGGAGAGAGGAGAGGGGAGGGGGAAAAGGAATGGAAGAAGCTAACGTTTAGGCCATCTGCATAGGCATCCTTCACATCTGCCCATGCAAACACCCCATCAGCCAACACGTAGTACAGCCGCACTTGCTGCGATCACAAGGAGAAGGGAAGAGGGAAGGGGAGGATGAGAATTAGAACCTAACCATTGAGTGAGCTACCAGCCAAAGGCACACGGAGTCCACATCCTTCACGTCGCGCAAACACCCCATCAGCCAACACGTAGTACAGCCGCACTTGCTGCAAGGAGGAGGAGAGGGGAGGAGAGGAGGTGAGTTCAGTCAACTGTGCAACATTCCGCATCCTTCACACCTGCACAGTCAAACACCCCATCGGGCAGCACATAGCCCAACCACTTGCTGCCAGCAGGAGCAGAGGGGACATGCAAGGAGCAACAAGCATACAAGTCAGCCCTTACACCATAGGGTCCTTCACACCTGCACAGTCAAACACCCCATCGGGCAGAGCATAGCCCAACCACTTCCTCTCTCTTCTCTCCCCTTCCTCAATGTGTGCAGAACCACAGAATCAACCCTCGCGAATTAGGCCTTGGAAATGAAATTCCTAAGTTCAAATCTCACGGATCAAACCATCAAACCACCCTACCTGCTTCTCCTCTCTCTTCTTCACCAGCGTCACTGAGTGAATACCTGAGCGTGTAAAACATTCAGTTGCATGCACCCACCTGCTTCTCTTCCCTTTTCTTCACCAGCGTCTGCACCATCACTGAGTAAACACCTGTGCGTGTACCATCATGCATACCAGTCCATTGTACCTGCTTCTCCTCCCGTTTCTTCACCAGCGTCTGCACAATCTCCTGACTCTTCTTTATGTCTGGCAGCTTCGACTGGTGGGAGGGGAGGGGGAGGGGAGGGGAGGGGAAGGGAGGGAAGATGAGATTCGAGGACACGAGAAAAGCAAGAGAAGATGCGCACTCTCTAGTTTCTTCACCAGCGTCTGCACAATCTCCTGACTCTTCTTTATGTCTGGCAGCTTCGACTGGTGGGAGGGACGAGGAGGGAAGACACGACCAACGAGGGCATGAGGAATGGAAGGGAAGCTTCGACTGACGGGAAGGCGGTTAAAGCGTCTGCACCATCTCCTGGCTCTTCTTTATGTCTGGCAGCTTCGACTGGTGGGAGGGGAGGGGGAAGGAGGAGAGGGGAGGGGAAGGAGGGGAGGGGAGGGGAAGGAGGGGAGGGGAGGGGAAGGAGGTTAGGGGAGGGGAAGGCGGGGAGGGGAGAGGAAGGAGGGGAGGGGAGGGGAAGGAGGGGAGGGGAGAAAGGAGGGGAGGGAGGGGAGGGGAGGGGAAGGAGGGGAGGGGAAGGAGGGGAGGGGAGAGGAAGGAGGGGAGGGGCGGGGAAGGAGGGGAGGGGAGAGGTGGGATGGGAGGGGAAGGGAGGGAAGATGATGAGAGACGAGAGCATGAAAAAATCAAGAGAAGATGTCATTATGAGAGAAGATGCGCATCTGCACGCTCTCCTACCTCTTCCTTATGTCTGGTAGCTTGTACTGGTGGGAGGGGGAGGGAACAGAGGGGAAGAAGGGAGAAGGGACGAGAAGGAAGGGAAGGAAAGGCAAGGTAATTAAAGGAAAGGGAAGGGGAAGAGAAGGGAAGGAAAAGAGCAGAAGTGTGCAGCTTCACCAGCGCATCTCTTGAGTCGACTCAAAAGCGCATCTCTTGAGTCGACTCAGAAGGAAAAGAGCAGAAGTGTGCTGCTTCACCAGCGCATCTCTTGAGTCGATTCAAAAGCGCATCTCTTGAGTCGATTCAAAAGCGCATCTCTTGAGTCGACTCAGAAGGAAAAGAGCAGAAGTGTGCTGCTTCACCAGCGCATCTCTTGAGTCGATTCAAAAGCGCATCTCTTGAGTCGACTCAGAAGGAAAAGAGCAGAAGTGTGCTGCTTCACCAGCGCATCTCTTGAGTCGACTCAAAAGCGCATCTCTTGAGTCGACTCAGAAGGAAAAGAGCAGAAGTGTGCTGCTTCACCAGCGCATCTCTTGAGTCGACTCAGAAGGAAAAGAGCAGAAGTGTGCTGCTTCACCAGCGCATCTCTCGCACTCAGCAACGCTCCTCGTCAACTACACCGGGCATGCCTACTGCTCCCTCCCATGCGATGCGAGGACGCCTGACCACGGCCGCCATGTCAATTCAGAGATCGGGCCCTGGAGACAATCGAACCAGCCCGACCCAGGCCGAACCCGGTTCACCAGGCTGCTCCCATGCGATGCGAGGACGCCTGACCACGGCTGCCAATCAGAGATCGCAATTCAGAGATCCGGCCCTGGAGACAATCGAACGGGCCCGACCCAGGCCGAACCCGGTCTGCCAGCCTCCTCGTCCCCAAGCTAAAGCATACCGGATGCGTCTCCTCTTCTGTGTGAGGATTGCTAGGGCGTTGTACAAATGCTAATGCATACCTGGATTTTTTTTTTTCATATATATATATGTGATTGCGTACCTGCAGGTCTCTCTTCTGAGTGAGTAGCTTGATTTCCAGCAGCTTGTATTGCTGCATCCTGACAGGTGGGGATGGGTGGAGTGCGGTGAGACGCGGCGAGAACAGTGAGCCAAGGGAAACTTGGAGTATATACACTGAGTTTTAAACAGACAGGTAGCACAGAGACAGACGACAACACAAGGGACGAAGTAGCTGAAGAGCCAATACAAGACAGTAACAGGAAAGGCACTGACAGCAGAGGCAACAGCAGCAGATGCAATAATAAAATGTTGATTCTATGATACAAATCGTGAACCAACGAAAGGATGCTAAACATCTAGTTCGAATGAATCCATGGTGCGAATCGTGTACCAACGAAACCACAAGACCGCAAACTGATAGCGCAATTCGAGACCCGTGGAACGACGGAGGGGAGCGGTGAAGAGCGGTGAAGAGCGGCGGCGAGCAGAACAGAGCGGAGGAGAAGAGCGGTGGATTTGAGACCCGTGGAACGACGGAGGAGAGCGGAAGAGAGCGGTCGAGCGGTGGATTCGAGACACGTGGAACGACAGAGGAGAGCGGAAGAGAGCGGAGAAGAGCGGAGAAGAGCGGGGGAGAGCGGCGGAGAGCGGAAGCGAGCGGTCGAGCTGCGAAACAACACGGGTCCAGACTGTTGTTTCGCAGTCAAGAGCTGCGGTCGATCCAAATCCGAACGTCGATCACCTCTCCTCAAGTGATTGGATGACAGCTGGCGCCTCTCTGCCCGCCAGAAACGCCTCCACGTCAGCAACAAACTGCGCCTCGGGAATGCCACGTCGGTGCTTCTCGCCTTCAGACGCGGTATTTCCGGCGCTATCCGCGGCGGGCTTATCGATCTCCATTACTCGCAAACTCGCGACGCGGGTGCGACGCGGGTTTGACTCGTCTAAGAGCTGACTCGCTGATGAGCAACGGATCACTGACCCGTTTCGAAAACACTGCCTGTTTCTGTTGCTCTACGTTCCAAGGTAATAGGGATTATCTGGGACTGTCGAGATTATGTGGAATCAGTGCCGATTTGTATCCAGATGCACGAAAGACTGGGATCTCGGGTCGGGAGGTGTTGGGTATGATTGTCGGTAAGGCGCGTCACCTCGGACGTTCGAACGGGCCTGTTCGGACAGCTGGTTACCACCCGATGCGATGCGCCTTTGGAGTGACTCGAGTGACGAACGAACTTGACAGACCACGAAACTGACTGCACTGGATTGTCCGTATCAGTAGGATTTGGAGTGCGAATTTGCTTTCAAGCGTTTTCATGTTTGCAGACTTGGCTCGCCTCGTCGCGCATGCGCTGGAGTTCACAAAGCCCTTTCCCCCAACCACAAACCCTCGCCAGAATTCGTGCGTGGGGAGGTGTAACCCTGTTTCTGAAACGGGTTGGAATATCTGCACCACGAGACTTGAGGCTCTAGGGAGGGGTTGTAATCGGGTGAAGCGACACAGGGAAATGCTCGCAGAGAAACACCACCCTGACCCTCCCATCCCACCCCGTTCCTCCCCCCTCCCCCCATTTTCCTCCGACCTGCTCCCCCCTTTTCCCCGTCGTTCCCTTCCCCTTTCCTCTTCTTCCCCCCCATCCCTCACTCCCCCCACCAACCCCTCCCCGTCGTTCCCTTCCCCTTTCCTCTTCTTCCCCATCCCTCACTTCCCCCACCAACCCGCCCACCTCCTCTCCTCTCCTTTTCTCCCGCTTTCCCCCTTCACCTCTTCACCTCCTATCATAATCCTAGGTGCATCATGCCCAACCATTGCACGCGCATTTGGTCTGCCCGTGCTCGACCGGCCTGCCCAATTGCAAGTAGCACCAGCCAGTTGCACGCTCGATACAAGCCCCTATTTTGATCGCAGCCGTTGAACAAACAGCTTATCACGCTGGCATCCGTCCGTTCGTAAGATATTTTGAAGAAGCTGGTTACATTTCTTCACCTGCCCACTACAGTCCCGATTTTGCCCGTGGCGAAATGTTGGCGACCTGGCGAAATAAGGCTGCGCACTAGACACCCAAATGACCGAAAAAGTTGTGGGAGTCAAACGGGCATCCTGTGTACGAAGTACTTCATCTGGATCTTCCTTTTATCTCTTGATTCGACTCTTCTTGATTTCCGTCGCCCTAGATCTTTCTAAAATAATCTCTCCGATCAACTCTCTTCCACGTTTCTGAACTTCGTCTCCCCAGCTTCGCACTCTTCCGCGCTGAGAGTGCCACCGCCGAATTTCTGTTTCACTAGTGTCTCCAAATACCATATCATCCTCAGCCTCGATTCACCTCGTAAAGATTAACAGATCCAGGAGGAGTTATCGAGCTAATGGACTCTCGCACGAGCATAGACGAGCTTCCTGACGATGTACTCGGGAGGATCTTATTCTGTTGCGAGCGGCCCGTGCGTAGAAAATCGGATAGTGACGATTTATGGAATTCGCTTTCATTGTTTCCAGCCCCGAGGTACCTCCCTGGAATTCGTGATGATAAGAAGACGCCATTACCAATTCCTCCTCCATCTGCAAACATTCGCCAAATTCTCCGCATTTCCTCCATTTGCCGTCGCTGGCGCCGTCTTTCCCGGCACTACGTCACCACGGTTCTCCTCGCAGACAGCGACGTTCCCGCTGATAGGCACATCATTGTCGCGAATGCTCTCCATACCTTCCCGAACCTCACCCATCTCCATCTATGCGACGATCTCGTGAGCACAGCTTTGAATGACGCCTTCCTCTCTCGCCTCGCCTCGTCATGCCCGGAGCTGAAGATTCTCCGCATGGGAACTGTGAGGCTGAATGGCTTTGGATCGGCGAAGGAAGAGCACCCAATCACAAACAACGGCTTGGATCTGTTTTTCCAACGGTGCTCTCAGCTGGAGCAGCTTTCGCTGTTCTGCCTCCATCCAGATGTTGAGCTGCGGCTGCCTGCCTCCTTCTACCGGTTACCGCATCTGCACACACTTGTGCTCCCGAATCTTTCAATACTCGAAGCTCCGGAGTTTGCAAGCCTCACTTCTCTAACCCGCCTTCATTTCCTTTCAAATGATATCCCCACCAATCAGCAACTTGCCAACCTCGCTCGCCTCCCAAGCATCACCTGTCTTTCCATTCCAGGCGACACCGAATATTCCGGTCGGGATCAGAGGGACCCTCCTCAGCTCGATCTCGCTCATCTGCCTCTCCTCAAGTCGTTGAGATGTGATTTCCGCCTGTCTTCAGCATCCCCCTGCACCAGCATCGAACGGCTGGAGATCCGCGCGATGTACCCAGAAGACTGGCAGCACCTTCCTGACGACTTCGGATTGCTGCTGCCGTGTCTCCGCGAACTGACCCTTCTTGGCACGCTGTATTATATTCCTTTCTCGCCTGACATTTCACTGCCCTGCACTTTCGGTTCGTTTAGTCGACTAAAGAGCCTGACCCTTTCTGACTGCCTCGGGCTTTCCATGCTGCCCGCAGAATTCGGGAACTTGCGTGCTCTTGAAACGCTGGTTCTGCGAAAGCTGTCTCTTCGACGCCTCCCTAACTCCGTCGTTCAGCTTCCTGCCCTGAAAACTCTGGTGCTGCACGCTCTCCCTCTCTCCAGCCTCCCTGATTCCATCTGCCGACTCATTTCCCTGAAAGCACTGGTGCTGCACAGGCTACACCTCTCCGGCCTCCCTGACTCCATCTGCCAACTCACCTCCCTGAAAACACTGGTGCTGCACAGTATACGCCTCCCCCGCCTCCCTGATTCCCTCTGTCTACTCACGTCCCTACAGACATTCATCTTGATAGAGTGCATCAACACCAAGCCGAAAACTCTCCAGCTGCCTCCAGCTTTCTGTGGCCTCACTGCTCTCCAGACCCTTTGCATCGCGGACATGCCGCGATTGAGGCTTCAAGATAATATTGGGGAGCTCTCTAAGCTACAAACGGTGTTTCTGCACAAATTGCAGCAGCAGGCGCAGCTACCATCCACATTCACCCAGCTGTCTTCTCTGACGCGGCTTGAACTGAGCAGCTGCATGATTCAAGAGCTTCCTGACAACCTGGGAGATCTGACCAACCTGCAGGAACTGCACATCCATTCCTGCCCGGAACTTGTGAAGCTTCCAGAGTCCCTGACAAGGATTTCAAACCTCGAGATTCTCATCATTAAGGACTGTAAAATGCTGGATTTTCCCGAGAGCCTGGAGAGCCTTAGGAAGAGGGTAAGGCTCAGTTGACCTGCCAGCTATCTACTTGCTGCCGGAGTTGAGGAAGCTAGTCTTAGCATCTCCGGTTATAACATCCCCATGCAGCCTCAAAATGTGGGAGATGATGAATGCATGATGGTGAACCATGGTGCATGCCAAGCCCACATGATGTCTAAGCATGTGGCCTTGTACGGTAAGATTTTTCAGAGGATCTGAGTGGAAAACAGGGTGTGTATGGATGTACCTGTATATGATCTTATAAGATTTACTGCACATTACGGTACAAAGAAAGCCCCTCATGCATTACGGTGCATTTCTTTGAGTGCATGCGTGCGTGCGTGTTTGATTTCTTTTTTATTGATCAACCTGTAGTATTCTAGTTTGTGGACAAATTTCATGGCGGTACCCACCCTCTGTTCGCAGACCAGTTCTCTCAATGTCAATGCCGGACCAGGTGCCGGTACCAGCAGACTTGGAGTACCTAGAGACAACTAGTAGAATGACAATGAGTGCGCTAAAGATGACCAGTAAGTGCACCCTCAACCCGAGACCAGAAGCCTTGATTGACATGGGGTTCTCCTCCATTGCTTCTCAAACTCTTGATGTCACACCTGCTACAGTTTCACCTGATTCTTGTAGAGCAGCTTCTGTTTCAGCAGCTTCTGTTACACCTGCTCCGGCTACGGGTGTTTCCGCTACATCCTTACTTCTTACAGATGTCCCCGCTACAGCCGCTCCTGTTACAGCTGCACCTGTTACCCCCGCTGCTGCTGCTCCAACCGCTCCAGAATCACCCCTCCTTGCTGCTCCCTCTCCTCCTGCCATTCTCCTCCTCTCACCAGCCGTCCCTGGCCACGGAATGATGGACCCAAAAAGGAAGTGCTGCATTATCGGCACCTTCTCCAGCACCTCCGCTCTGTACATTTTAAGCATTCCGCTGTTCACCTTGTTCCAGTTCGGTACACCGCTTATGTCGTTGATCATGGGCGAGTGCTCCGCTAAAGGGCCCTTCTTCACCTTCTTAACGAATACTACGCTAGAGAAATACAGGTACTCCTCCGCAAAATTATCCAAAATGTCCGGATTAAGGATCGACTTAGGACGGAGGTATTTATGACCAATTAGTTGCGAGGAGCCGAAGATGAACGGTAGGAAGTGGTAGTCGTCTAGGCCCCACACACCGTGCGACCCGGCCGGTTCCAGCCAGTAAGTCAGCTGCAGTTTTCGCATTAAGGCGAGGTATTTAACGAACACGCGGGAAACTAACGCTTGATAGTCGTCCGGGACTAGGAGGCCGAGCCGCACTAAGCACATCAGCCACGCCGCGAAGTTAGTCTCGTGACCCGTGCCGAAGTCTATTCTGGTCCAGTTGCCGAAGCTGTCAGCTAGGTACGGAAAGGTCTCCCCCACAGCTGCTTTGAGATTCTCAGGGAATATCATATCTGCCACGAGTTTTGGGCCCCGTTCCTGTAGCCGGTCCTGCCAGGTTCGGTAAGAAGGGTTACCGTATCGAAGCAAGGTTTCGCTTGGCGGAATTTCGTCAACCCATGAAATCAACGTCTGGAGGAAAGCGACAATCTTCTCACACGTCGGCGACACGTGGCACGGATCTGAAATCTTCTTCCCTTGAATCGACTCGCTCAGCCCTACGATGAAACCTAAAAACCACCTTCCGGATTCCC